AGGAGGGGAGGGTTGAGGGAAGAAAAAAATGTAAAAATAATTCAATTGTGCACAGGATCGAGAGATTCATATATTTCATATTTAAATTGGATTTTTTCATAATTTCTCTTTTTTGTTAACTTTGATTAGACAAAATTTGTATTCTGTCCTTCACTCATTATGATAAGATACTTTTAATGTAAGATAATAACATTATTCATTATATAGAAACAGTAATAATGGCATAAATTGATTGCGGATCGGGTTTCTTCAAATATTTTCTTCTCAATTCCATGGGAATTGACACTGATCGAGGCAACACTCTGCAATTATTTTTATAATTTTTTTTTTGGAGTCGTTACTGTGGATCGAGTCAGTGTTAATTCACATGCTCGCTGTATAATATATACATATAATTATGAATGTTACAATTAAAATTACGTAAATAACACACGAGTGAAATGAGTTATCTCAACACAATTACACATTCGAGAGATTTCATTATGTTCAATTTCAGTCTTTGTATTCTTTTCTTTTGTATTTATTCATTTTTATCAACTTAAAGTGTTAATGTGACGATTGAATTTTCGTGTCCATGAGTTTTAAAATTCATCAAAATTTTCTTGCTGTTATTTTCATGTGCCCTCCCTTTTATATTCTTTCGTGTGTAATTGTGTTATCTAACAACTTAATTTAATTATTTAAATGTATACGATCAAAAAACATTTTGGCCAGGACATGGTAAATGTCTCGGTGTTTTATTACTTTTTTTTCTTCCTTTTTTCCCCATATTTTCTCGCCGTTGAATGAAGAAAAAACAAATATTGTTGAAAATAATGAGAAAAATTAAATGAAGTACCAAGGCCTTCAATGGCTTAACTTTACTAATTAAGATTAAACAACGGTAATGAATATTTGGAGCACTTTTTTCTCCCTTCTTATGCATTTGGTTATTTATCTTTGACTGTTCGGAAAACATTTGCACTGTAAATTATCCTTAAATAAAATTAAAAAATATGTAAACTATCTTTCAAAAAATTTACAGGAATAAACTAAATAATAAATAACAGAAAAGAGAAGAAAAATAAGGGAGTAAAGATCATAAAACATTTTGTTTTTTCCTAGCAATTGCACAATATTCAACACGATAAGTATTTTTACGATTATTTCAATCAGAAATATTTCTTTGTGCTCTGGAGAAATGGAAAAAAGAGTGATCCCTGCGTGGATCAGTTTTTTAGTTAGTGAGAAATTATTTATGATAAAAATGTATCGAGAATTGTTCTAGCGTTAGTTTCCTCATTTTTTTTTGTTTATCTAAACAGATCTTTGCTTCTATAATTATCGAGTGAATCTATAGCATTTTTTGGGTTCTTATAAACTATTTAATGCAATAATGAAGTCGAAGTTTATCAACGCTCAGCATTTCTGCAACATTCCTTTCTTTTCATTTTTTTTTATCTAGGATAAATTGATTGATTATACGTCAACCACCATTTTCTTATGAATATCGGTGTTACCGACCACCTGAAAGATTAATAAATATATTAATAAATAAATTCTGACGAACCCTTGAGATGCGAATTTTGCAATAAACTTACAGAGCAAAACTCTTCGAAGCTAATTTTCCCATCCTCGTCCTTATCAGCGAAGAGTATTGTCTTGTCGACAATTTGTTGTAATTGAGTGTCTTTAAGATTATTTCCTACCATCATCTTGAGTACTTGGAACAATTCACCATTACTAATAAATCCATCATTGTCCATATCATAAATTCTGAATGCAAACCGCAATTTACTCTCCTTATCACCCTAAAAAAATAAAATTCCACCCCAAAAAGTGAATAATCGAAACGATTGAAATAAAATAATCTCTCCTCACCTTGACACTGAACTGCGATACTCCTTGAATAAACTCCTTGAAATCCACCTCCCCATTGCCATCAGCATCAAAAATATCAATGACACGTTGTACAAGTGGATTTTGTTGTAACTCTGGTAATGACATGAACTCATCGATACTCAATGCCCCACTGTTATCAAGATCCAATTTCCTAAATCTCTTTCCCAATCTTCTTATTTCATCAGCATCAACTGCAACATCATTTCAACATCAATAAAATTATCAAAACGGTAATGGCTAACCGATAATTCCCCCAAGTAACCACAAAACTCAATGAAAGCCATAAAAAATCACAAATTCATTTACAAATTGATTTTAGAAAAAAACCAAAGACTCACAATTTGAACAGAGTTCCATGGGTAGGGAGCTCTCGTTACCCTGAAAACGATGAAGAAATGTGTTATTTCAAGGTAAAGTGTTGGATGAAATGGAGTGTAGACAAAAAAAAAACAGGTAAGACGTTTATATTTTGAGAGTAAAATCCAAAACATTGGGATTTATTATCCCCAAGTAAAAATTATCTAAACGTTGACAATTTTTAAACAATTAATAAGTGTTTACTCACCATTTTCGGTTGGTATTATTGGGAATAATCACACGAAAATAAATGATAAAACGTCAAAATTGATCAGCAAACAGCAGCAATCCCAGGTAGACTCCAATGGCTGGTCTCAACTCGTTAAAAAACTTGGAAAGCGCTTGCGTACAAAACCCACCTCCCCACATCTACATTTACGTGTAATGCGTGTGTCCATAAATAATTTCGTGTGGTACTAGTGTACCACAAGTCGTCAAAGCAGCGAACGTTGAATTTATGAAATTTCCCCTGTGCGTCGGAGTGATGGCTTTTTTTTTTAAAAGCATTTGGAAATATTTTATGAGAATGATCATTGATGTTTGGATAATTACTCATTAATCACCTCATATAAATCCCCTGCGATATCTCCACCTGGAGGTGCTATGGAAGATATTCAACCAATCAACCAAAAAAAAAATTCATCCATAGTGAAAATTCTCGGAAAAACTCGGGAGGACGTAATTTCCCATTGAATACAGGTCGTTTTCCCGCTTAATATTAATCAGGAGAGAATTACTTGTAGATCACTGATAACTTCAATGTTCCCCACGTGTTTTCCGCCGGTGAAGACGGTCCAAGGAGTGATGATAGCCTTTCTAAACATTTATTTAGCGGATGTTACCGTAATCAGCGGAATTGACCGCTGGAATCGCAGACGAAGGGGTGAAGATGAAGAAAGCAAATTGGAGACTGCGCCATCTGGATCATTGATAATAATCAACGAGCTGAATCTTCATATCAATTAGGTGATTTTCCAGAGGCTGATGCAGAGCCAGAGAATTATCAACGATGACACAGTTCCTGGGTAAAGTTGTTCTAATAACTGGTGCAAGTTCTGGCATCGGAGCAGCGACAGCAATTCATCTGTCATCTCTGGGGGCATCATTATCACTAACCGGTAGGAATGTTGAGAATCTTGCGAAAGTTGCTGACGAATGCAACAAGGAGAGAAAGCCATTGCTTATCCGTGGAGAGTTGACCAACGAGGAGGACACCAAGAAGATCCTGGAGTCGACGATCAATCATTATGGGAAGCTCGACATCTTAATAAATAATGCTGGGACGATTGAACGTGGAAGCATCGAAAATACGAGTCTAGAGCAGTACGACAGGTTCGAAATATTCCAATGTCTTCCATCTCCCTTCCTGCTCAAAATAATTAATTATTCCTATTCCGTATTTTAATTATATTTAAATTCTTCGCAGAGTCTTCAATTTGAATGTACGATCAATGTACCATTTAACGATGCTAGCAATTCCGCATTTGATAAAAACAAAAGGAAATATTGTCAATGTATCGAGTGTCAACGGTTTGCGATCATTCCCAGGTGTTTTGGCGTATTGCATGAGTAAATCAGCTGTTGATCAATTCACCCGGTGTGTGGCCATTGAATTAGCTGACAAACAGGTAAAAATAGTGGGTTCTTTTTTTTATAAATAATTTATTCACGTGTGATTTCGTTGGTTTCAGGTGAGAGTGAATGCTGTTAATCCTGGTGTGGTAATTACAAACCTTCACGAGAGAAGTGGAATGAGCCCGGAGGAGCTGCAGGCCTTCTTTGAACGCAGCAAAACCACTCATGCACTGGGAAGACCTGGCAAGCCTGATGAAGTTGCTAGAACTATTGCATTTTTGGCAAGCGATGATGCTAGCTTCATAACTGGAGCTACATTACCTGTCGATGGAGGCAGGCATGCACTCTGTCCGAGATAATTCCGGGGATTTTATTCAATGACTCATCGCACTATTTTTGTACTGAGAATAAATAAAAGCCTACGTGCAATATGCATTAATTTCTCTCCAGTATTTTTCCCCGTAATGTCAGCTTTCTCGCAATTGCATGAATATTTTTCTAGTCTCTAAAACTAAAAACTCACTGATGCATCACTTTAGTCACGTCCTACGTGTAGATAAATCATAAAAAACTTATTTATTACGTTTTTACCTCGAATTCAAAGAGTAATAATGTGCAATAAATAAGAATAAATCCCGGAAGTTCCAGTTCTTAATCTTCTATTGGATATTCAGTGATGGAATTAAGAATTTTTTATGGACAGGGATTTTTTCGATCCAACAATATCCTGTTTCCAGATAAATTCAGAGCAATATCCAGATTTGGGTATGCATGAATTTTTGCATGTGAAGATTGCCAAGACACCCCAGTCGAGGTCCTTCACATCCTCGGAGGAGCCCAGGTAGTTCAACAATTGTGGCATGATCTGCGAAATAATCCAAAATTTACATGATGCATTGCAAATAAATTTAGTGGATAATCTCACGTACTTGAAACTCAAATTGTCTGTCACCACCACATTCCTCGCACTTTGGAATGCTCTCGGGTTGATTGTGCGCAGAGATGTAGAGAGGAGAGCCCCCTCGATCGTACCTATCAGAAAACATAAATAAATGGATGATGAATCATTAAAAAGGAGAGAGAGATGAAGAATTACCGGAGAACTTGATCTGGATGTTTATCAACTCTGTTCCTGAATTCTGTGAAAACCTCGTCCTCATCTTCCACCATTTTCATCAAATCCCCATCGACGTCCTTCTCCGACTGGAGTGTCCCAGCTTTTCCAGTCTTGACCATCAACTTGAACTTCTCCATCTCCCGTTTCTCCCTCTCTACCTCATCCACCTCCTCTTCAGAATCCTCTGAATTCTCTGATTCTGTAATCAATTCCAACTCGGAAAAGAGGAATTTATGCGGTGATTCAAGTTTCTTCGATGGATCATTACAGATCTCCTTGTGTCCTGTCTTCCAATCGATGACTTGATGACTTTTACAGCAGTAACTGACTTCCCTACATTTAGCGCATTTACTGGGGGCTGACAATCCACAAACGTGACAGGTCTTTGTCCATTTATCGATAGCTGCAATAAAATAGCAATTACCCATCAATAATTACGATTAATCCCCACAAAAGTGCTCACTCAAATCCGGTCTCCAGTCTTCCCTCTCCTCAGGTGCATCAAACGGATAGAATTCATTTTTCCTCCCCAACTGTTCCCTGATAACCTTGAGATTTCCCCCATAATTCTCCTTACAGCACTCGCTCTTCTTACAAACGAAGACAAAAATTGTTCGATGAAAAGTTGCATCATTGGCGAAATAAGGTGCATAAACTTGACACAGAAATACACATGGATCACCACACGTTCCACACTGGACATCCTCAGCCCCAGGTACATTTTTCAGATCCAACCATGCAGGCTCTCCTCCAACTTTGCTCGGAAAAAATCTACTCTGCAGCCTCCATCGTTCACACTCCTCCACAAATCCAATATCAACCTCTCCCATTATTAAAAAATCTTGAAATCTTCAAAATTAATCAGCCGTTTGTTTACTCCCTAACACTCCGACGACTCCAATTCCTCCAATTGCTCCAATTGGCTTTCTTCAGGTTAGAATCTTGATTTTCGAAACTCACGTTTTAAGGAGTGTTCTCATCGATTCGGGCGACGAAGAAACTCATTGCCCTCCGAAAAATGATATAGGGGGAGGAAATCATGAAGGTCTGCAAAAATTCAGATTCCTCCCACAAATAATTCATTCATCTCGTTATCCCCGTGCATCTGTCGACAAAAGGTGCATCAAATACTTTATAAACAATCGGGAAACACCTGGACGTGTTGTCAAAGAAATGTGGAGTGTAGTTGTTGGTGTCGAAGACATTTGGTGTCCATTGAGAAGGGTTTAGAGATTGAAATAAGGTATAAAGATGGCGGATTGTGCATCGGAGGTACGGCTTTCGTCAGCGAGTAACGATTGTGGATTGAATCAAAATATAACAATGATTAACAATGGACGTGTACCACAGCATGGTATCAACACTCAGAATCCAATTGGTCAAGGACCCCGAAGTGTTACTATTTACAAAACTGAAACTGGTTTTGGTTTCAATGTACGTGGACAGGTGAGCGAGGGTGGTCAATTGAGAAGTATAAATGGTGAACTTTATGCACCACTTCAACATGTAAGTGCTGTTCTGCCCCATGGGGCTGCTGAAAAAGCTGGAGTGAGAAAAGGGGATCGAATTCTGGAAGTGTAAGTCTCACTAGACTAGAAATAAACAGTCCATTTACTGATTGATAAATATTAATTATAAAAATTGTCTTTGTAGGAATAATATTAATGTGGAAGGAGCCACTCATAAACAGGTGGTAGATCTGATAAAATCAGGGGGCGATGTTCTGACGTTGACTGTTATCTCGGTGACGCCCCAGGAGGCCGAACGACTGGAGCCGTGTGAAGATTTAAGGTACACTCTTACGAAAATGTGATACACCACGAGAAAGGCAGCAGAGCCTCGTGACCTCTTGACCTGTCTGATGATCCATCCACTACCTCATTCCAAACTCCAGTCATTGCATAATTCTGTAAAGAGGATATAAAGGGTAACCAGTCGATTTTTTTACTAGTCATGTTTTCGAATTTCTCTGAATTTGAGAGAATTTCTCGGACTTCGAAAACTTGTCTAGTGGACAAATCGACAATGCTGGATTCGAGTAGATAATTTTACTTACAGCTGGAGCTAGACAACAATTAATTCTCATAAGTTATACAATTAATTTATTTGCAGTTATCAATCAGTGGATTACAGTGAGAAACGCTCTCTACCAATTAGCGTGCCAGATTATCATGTTCGTGAACGTAGATACGAGAGATATGTTGTATTCAATGTGTATATGGCAGGTCGTCACCTCTGCTCCAGGAGGTATCGAGAGTTTGCTGCTCTACAGATGGCACTAAAGAAAGAATTCATTGGATTTAATTTTCCCAAGCTACCTGGTAAATGGCCTTTCCAGTAAGTTCATTTTCATAATTTATTACTCGTAATTTTGTAGAAAAAAATCGGCAATTTCATCTGAATTGTAATAATTATAATTTAGGTTGAGCGAGCAACAGTTGGATGCTAGACGACGTGGACTCGAGCAGTATTTGGAAAAAGTCTGTGCAGTGCGTGTGATAGCCGAGAGTGATGCAATGCAAGAATTTTTGACTGATAGATTGGAGGAGGATGGGGATCAAGGGCCAGCAGTTGATTTAAAAATACTACTGCCAGATCGTGAGGTCGTCACTGTGACTGTTGCTAAAGCAGCACTGGCTAAAGACGTTTATGAAGCGACGTGCTGTAAAATTGGATTGGACAATGAAACCGCCAAGTATTTTTACCTCTTTGAGATTGTCGAGTATAATTTCGGTGAGCATGTCATTAAATTTGTTTTAGTGATAGGATTCTCTTCTCGGGTAAATTAATCATTATTATTTTTCTAGAACGTAAATTGCAGCCTCACGAGCATCCCCACACCCTATATATCCAGAATTACTCGACTGCCAGTGCCACGTGCCTGGCAATACGTAGGTGGTTATTCAACATATCTAGATCATTGAGTGAGCAGGCACTCACGTGGATTTTTTGGCAGACTGTTGATGAAGTTAATCGTGGCCATATCAATGCTGGAGAGAGACTGTATCAGTTGAAAGCTCTGCAAGATGCATCGAGAAAGCATGAGTACTTGAAATTAGCTAGAGAACTCAGTGGCTATGGGGATATTGTATTTCCTCATTGTGCATGTGACTCTCGAAAAGAGGGACATGTTATTGCTGCTGTGGGGGCTGGAGCTTTTAAACTTCATGCAGCTAAGGAAGATGGAACACTAGAATCTCAGGTTGTTGAGTTCCAATGGAGAAATATCACGAGATGGGAAGTGGATGAAGAGGGAATGGCTTTCTGTTTTCAATATACCAGACAGGACAATCGACCTCCACGATGGCTCAAAGTTTTCACTCCCTATGTAAGTAAAAATATTCTCAAGTTCGTTAGAAATTCATGAGTAGATTATTTGTATAATTGGATTTTCTTGGGCTGCAGTATACGTTCTTGCTGGACTGTTTCGACCGAATAGCCGAGGAGTCAAAGTGGGAAGAGGGCGAGGAATGACAAAGGAAATCGTAAATTGGAAAAACTATTATTAATTTTTATTCTCCCAATTTGTACTGTAAATTTTCATCACTGTCCCAGCTTCGATTCTTTCTTTCTCTTCAATTTTTGTGCGACAAACTGGCTAGTCTACTTTAGAGTCATTTACTGTCCTTTTTTGTATATACTTTAATGAGGGAAAATGAGAACAATTGCAATTGAAATGGATCATTGATGAGTGAAAAATCATGATAGTTCTTGTTGCACTGTCGATGAGAGTGGCACGTTTTAAATATTTAGTATAACAATTTAAAAAATTGTTGAAATTATCGATAAAGATCTCGGTGACTGTACTGCGCTAAACGAATTTTATCGAACAGGGAGAGAAAATCAGTAAAAGTATTAGGTGAAAATTATTGAATAATTTTCAGAAGAGCAAGAGAATTAACGGCTTAATCGTAATCAATTAATTGGCCTACTAAAGTCATTAGTCTTATAAATTTGTTGATGGTGATGTTTGAAATTCCATTTATGTTAGTGATTGCATGTTAGTCCCCTGCAATATTTGAACAAAGAAAATTGGACGATATATTCAGATAAATTAAATGAAATCACGTTGATAAACAAAATCAATTTATTTTTGTTCAATTGTATATACTTAATGTTCCTGAAAAAATTCCATTTCCATAGCTTTTATTTATACAATAAGTCATTCATTCCCAACCGCGAATGCCATTATTTTTTTTTACTTTGTTTTTTTTTTCTTTCGGATCATTACACCTTGAAATAAAAAAGACAATGATCTGCAAAAGGTATTTGGCCTATAGTACACTAGGCCCCCTCGCTATATTAAATTACACATTGTTAATTGAAAATGAGACATATTTTTGCGTTTTAAAAATTATGTTATAAAATTTACAATTGTTAAATTTTGTTGGTAATGTATTAAAGAAAAAATGAAACACCAACGACAATTATATACATAAATACAAAAATCTGAAGTAGAGCACGTTGTATTGAAAACACATTTGCATTTATAATTAATAGCCATAATCTTTTCATTTTTCTTCTTCTTTTCGACGTACATTATACATACACGATTTAGAACAATGAATAATTGTATTACTCAAGAGTAAACAAACAACAGACTAATTCTTACGTAAAGAATACACATTTTTTCCTCAGAGAAATACTAGTGTAAAGAGAGATGATAAACCTAGACGATATAGAGAAAAAGAAAAATAATTGAAGAGAGTAATAAGTCATATTCAATGATAAAAAAAAATAAATAAAAATGCAACGATCACTTGAGGTTTTTTGATTCTCAAAATCCTTGTATGAGTATCATTGTATCAGTTCCTTCTATTTTCCATAGAGAATAAAAATAATGTAAACAAGTACAAAAGACGTGCATTATTGACACCAGTCTCATGTAATTCCATCAAAGTCAGATATCTCGAACAATAATACTGTATTAAACATGAATTCTCAATGCAATACTGTCAGATTTGTTTTCTGCCTCGAGTCCCACCTTAATTTTCTCGAGTGTCTCATGGATTGCCCTGAAAGGCGGTCGATCCGCTGGCCTCCTGTTCCAGCAGACTTTCATGAGATCGTAGACCTGGGGTGGAGTATTGTCCGGACACTGGAGAACATTACCCTCCTTGATGTACTTGACGACTTCCTCGTGGGTCATTCCATAGTACGGCTGAAGAGCAAAGCTGAAGATTTCCCACAAACATACAGCGAATGCCCACACATCAGATTCAATCGTGTATTTATTATAAAGAATACTCTCAAGTGGCATCCACCTCACAGGAATGGCATCCTGATCGTCCCCTTTGTAATAATCCTGGAGATATATCTTCTGGGACAATCCAAAGTCCGCGATCTTCACCACCATTTGATCATTGATGAGACAGTTTCTGGTAGCTAAATCTCGATGGACGAATTTACGATCAGAAAGATAAACCATCCCCGAGGCAACCTGAATGGCAATATTAATCAAATCCATATGAGACAGCCTTGATTCATCGTTGTCATTAAATTTGTATCGGTTTGACGGTGAGCAACTCCTCAGAAATTCATTCAAATCACCTCTCCCCATGTACTCGAAGAGGAGACACATGGGTCTACCCAGAGCGCAGACGCCCAGAAGTTTCACAATATTCGGATGATCGAACTCAGCTAGAAGACAAGCCTCTCTCTCAAAATCCACGAGGAGATCCTGGGAGGCCTCATCCTTGAGCATTTTCACAGCGACATTAGTGAATTCCTCGTTGGGAATGAGTCCTGGTGCCCTCGCCTGGAAGACACGACCAAAAGCCCCCTGGCCCAAATCCCTGACGTAGATGATATTGTTCCTGGGGAACTCGAGCTTCTCTAATTTGGGATTTAGCTGGGCTCCAGTCCTGTGATATGCATCATTATTCGGTAGTTTATCGAGATCGATATTGACGTCTGGATTGGGTGCATTGCAGTATCCACTGTTTCGTTGTTTCTTGAGCCTCTGGGTTAAAAAAATCGAGACCAATGATCCAACGACGAGGACGAGACCTAGAGCGGATAATGTCAGAGTGAAACCAGGTGTGAACAGGCTCTCCATCATGATTTCATTGGTGTCGACTTTGACGTCTGGACTGGGTTGAGTCTGATTCTCGCAGATTTGGATGTCGCAGTGCTCCCATCGAACTTCAGGATTCATAGTGAAGCACCAGGGCATCAACTCATCGCCTCCAGCATTTCTGCAAAAATTTTTTCCATAACGAATTTGGGGAAAGACATTCGGGGGTTTGTTGTGGAAGTGTGGTTGCTGGGTATCCCAGGGCTGGCAATCAAGTCCACTCTTGGAGCGATTCATATTTCCCATGTAGAAACGACCATTATCCCTGACACAGTCGTACGTCACCAGATCCTGATTCATATCAGTGAGATGAATGTGCGAGCACGTGGTGACACCCTTCTTGAGTTTTGGCAGTACATCGCAGTCGGGAAGTCGAAAATGACCCCGGGATCTTATATAAATATCCCTCTGTTTATTGTCCTCGATGAGGGCCCAATCGTTGAAGCAAAATTCATGTCTTATCGCCTGGCAGTCCTCGTAGCAGAGGGGCAGTCTCTCGGATTTATGGCACATCGGGAATGCATACACGCAGAGCATTTTTTCAGCAGCTGAACGACAGGGCTCCTTCAGCTTTGATATCAATTCCTCCCAGAGATCAGTGGTAATTTCCTCGTTGAGAAAACCACCTGGATTGTCCGCTGTGTCATTGAACCAGACTTTTCCTATTCCAGTTAAATATTTTCGGCATATTTTTCCATTGTAGGGGGCACAGTAACCCTGAGATTCAATTGTTTGAGAGCACTCTGTACACAATATATTGAGGATAAACACAAATATCGAAAGAACAGCAATGACATTACTCTTCAACTCCATTATTACGCTGTCTCTCACTCGATGTATGTTTTCAAATCAAATTATTGATTCATAGTTGGCCTGTTGCTTCACCCATTTTCGTTATTTTCATTACCCCAAAATTAATATCTCAACACTTTAAACACGTTGGATAAACAATATAATATCTTCTCATTGGTCCACACATTTTATTAAAAGGTATCAGTTGGATTAATATTAATTATTGACTTGGAGTTATTGTTGTGTCTGAGGTGATATTACAACACTCGTTGGCAGTTTGTGAGCATGAGGACGCCAACTGGGGGTTAGGGGAGTTTTTTCGAAGATAAACGAAGTTGGAGAGTTGTGGAGGGGCTGAACACCACGTTTCCCCTCTTTCCCTCATCAAGGGGTTTGAGAAATTGAGAAAGTCGAACGTTTGGTGGCGCCTCTATCCAATTCATCCCAAAAATTCTCGATCGAATTTGAAAATTAGGAGAATTTCGAGAAAATTATGGTGAACCACTAAAAGCTGTCATTGATACGAAAAACTGAAGAATAATGACCTAATTTTGTTCAGTAATTAGATAATTATCCCAGTAAGTTTAAAAAATAATACTTTATTGATAATGTTGACAGAAGGTGATCAAGGTGGATTTAATGATTGCAATAAAGTGCGTCGATGTGGCCTATCATCAATTAATGAGTTATTTTCAAAACGACTAATTACTGCTGTCTTATTTCTCAGCGCCCTCGACACCAGCTTGTGTCATCAGGTCGGCGATGTTCTTCTCCAGGTCGTCTATTCGAGTCCCCATTTCATCTAGTATTTATTCTTAAGGATTAAACACGAGAGGATCAATAATTACTGAAATAAAGACACCTGATCTGAAAAAACTACTGGGAATAGTCAAGGTTATGTGAAGTGTTCGATAAAAAGGATATTTCTCCCAATAATTTGATCCGACATCGTCTGAAACTTGTCCTGCATGCCCTGAAGAAGTGTCTGCACCTGAAAAATTCCAGAATAATTAGTAAAAATAATTAAATTTCCTGAATGAGGAAAAACAAATAGAAAATTGAAGTAATCTTACGAATTGCGTCAATTCCTGGACATTCTTGGGGTCAGTATTGTTTTCCATGCTGTAGTTATCACTCTCGTCGATCTTGTGCTCCTGTTTCACTCCATCAGCCATATTTACTCGTCTAAAAAATTGTTTGATCGAAAACAAACAGGGAGAAATGATTTATTACACTTTTTGTTTAGAACCTGCGTTGTTCCTGGTGGATTATACCGTTGACATGCGCACAGAAAGACATTTGTTTGTCATTCTGGGGGAAGGGGTGCGCTGATCGCCTGATTCTTGATGGCTAGTGCGTCATCAGCTGATTGGAGGGACATGTGTTGTTGACAGTGTGCTTATATGTTCGTGAGCACTCCACAGGGATTCATCGACGATTGTGCATTGTTGTGATAAAGTATTTTAAACGAAAGATTGTCGAAGCTTTGGGCAATTATTGGAAGAGCTTAATCGGAGTTGAATTGATTGTGTTGCGAGTAATGATTACGAAACGTACATTGATCTATTCCATTATTTTGCTGTGCTCTGCGAGCAATAATGTTGACTCATGGCGATTTAGAGGAAATAAACGATCTCCAGTGGTTTTAGGTAATTATCATTGAGTCCAATTATTTAATTAATATAAATAAAATACTTTCATGTAACTTGAAATCAACAGTTCCAGGAGATGGTGGAAGCCAGGTAGAAGCGAAATTGAACAAGTCTTCGGTGGTTCATTATTTGTGTGAGAAAACATCGACAGAGTATTTCAATATATGGCTGAATCTCGAGCTGTTAGTTCCGATAATTATCGACTGTTTCGTAAGTACTGTATGATTCATCTCTGATTCCATTGCGATATCTTAATGAACGTTTCTGGTTATGATTGTAGATTGATAACATGAAGCTGACGTATGACAACACAACGAGAACAACAAGCAACACTCCAGGAGTGGATATTAATATTCCAGGCTGGGGGGATCCGTTTATGGTCGAATGGTTGGACCCCAGCAAGGCATCTCCTGGTGGCTATTTTAAGGATGTCGGCAATATGTTGGTCAGTGACTTGGGATACGTGAGGAATTTATCGCTCCGGGGGGCTCCCTATGATTTTAGAAAGGCTCCAAGTAATGACCAATAGCAAGTGCATCTTTTACCTCAAACCATTAATTAATCCATGAAGATTTAATTTTGAATAAAATATTTTAATAATTTTGCAGATGAAAATGGCGAGTATTTCAAAAAATTGAAAACTCTCATCGAAGAAACTTATCTAATGAACGATAAACAACCAGTGACTCTAATTGCTCATAGCATGGGTGGACCGATGTGTCTGCTATTTCTCCAGAGGCAGAATCAAAAATGGAAGAACATGTACATCAATAGTTTAATCACTCTTGGTGCTGTCTGGGGAGGATCTGTGAAGGCATTGAAAGTATTCGCCATCGGGGATGACTTGGGGGCTTATCTACTTCGAGAGAGCATCCTGAGGAATCAGCAGATCACTAGTCCAAGTCTGGGGTGGCTCATTCCTTCCAGCCTCTTTTGGAAGAATTCGGAAGTTCTCGTACAGACGCAGACGACGAATTACACTCTCAATAATCTTCAGCAATTTTTTTTGTAAGGAAAATTGATATTTATCATTCACTTCCCTGACTTATTTTCTGTTTCCGTTTTCCTCAAGGGATATTAATGTGCCGAATGGATGGGAATTCCGGAAAGACACTGAGGTCTATCAAAAAGATTTTACAGCACCAGGAGTTGAGGTTCACTGCCTCCATGGAGCTAACGTTGACACAGTTGAAAGGTAAATGAGAATTTCGTTTTAGGAAAATAAAAATGAAAGGCAATTCATTTGAGATAGAAAATATAATTAATCATTCTTGCAGATTATTTTATAAAGCAGGAGCTACTTTGGATAGTCACCCTCAATTAATAAATGGGGATGGTGATGGAACAGTCAATGCGAGAAGCCTTGAGGGCTGTCAGCATTGGCAGGGCAAACAAAACGCGAAGATCTACCATCAGGTATTCCCCCACGTCGACCACATGCAGATCCTCAGCAACCAGTCAGTTCTCAACTACATTAAAACCGTTCTGACCTTTTAATATTTATCCCGTTACCTGATTAGGAGTTAAAGTCCATGGAGAATCTCCTCGTAAGAATAGAATAACAAATATTATGAGAAAATATAAGTGACAACTCAGGATTTTTAGTAATTAGTTAATAGGAGAATGTGAAGATTGTTTCGAATTTACGCAGCTTTCGGTTCTCACTGCATGAGTTGTTTTTTATTAACTTTTTATACCATGACGATTCCACGTGCTCAACGATGTTTTTTTCATCTTTTAGGATAGATAACAAGTCTGATTTTAATTTATCTCTCCCCCTTTTCCAATTAGTCGAGACAATTTTGTCCATAAATAGTTCAATTAATGACAATGGATTTACACCACAGAATGATTTTTCCGCAGGAATAATTATTTGCCAAATTAGTTGTATATTTGATGTAGATAAATGAAGATATTTTTATCAAGATTAAAGATTATTGTTAAAAAATGTTACCTTTTACCATAAAATAAACGTGATATTAAAGTATCTAGTTATCTTGAAACTATAAAAATTGCTGAATCAATTTAGTTTATAAATTTGATTTTAAAAAAGTCCTTTTCCTCCACCAAAGGCTGCCGATGGAAGAAATTAATATTTTATTTAATTGAATCAATTTTTCAAGTGTCAATTTCTCAAAAGGCTCCAAAAAATGTTACATTGGATTTTTTTTGAAGGAATTCTTTCAAGGAATTTTCTTGTTACTGAATTGGGGGGATAGATATAAACATAAAAGTGAGAGTGATTTTACGATAGAATTGGTGTGAAAAGTCAAAAGTAAAAGATGACAATTGTGCGAGGAATAGTGAGTGGCGAAAACATTTGTTTATATCCAACACCGGTAAGTGATTCCATTTTATATTGCAATTCGATGGGAAAACAATTTAAAAGACAAAAACAATAGTTTATTCCACAGCTCGAATCTTCAATTTCTCTACTTTTTACATTTGTCCCCTTTCCTTTCAAATCACGAACGAAAAATCCGCACATCATTTGAGTCTATATTTAACACATTTTATAATTTGCACTTTTGTCAATAGTTTTCTCTTCATTACACTATAATAAATAATTAACAGTGACGTTCTGTCAGAATGTTCAATTAACTCTCACTCCAATTTTTCATAGGTTGAGGATTTGTTAGTCAGTCCTCGTGAACGCAGAGAAGAAAATTCATTCAAATCCAGAATTCAATTTAGTTATTTAATAGCCCGAAGAATTCGATCCAATCACGATTAAAATTGAAAACCCAAAATCTTACCATTATTCAATTTTCCCATTACATTTTCTATGTTTTATCCCTTTAAATGACTTCTTCTCAGCGAATAAAGGCATCACACAGGAATGGTCGATTTTAACTAATAACTCATGCTACCAGAGACAAAAGCATCCGTCTCACTGCAAAAATCTTTGGATAAATATACTCTGGATAATTTAAATGGCCTGTTATGTAGAAAAATTTGGTGTAGAAAATTAAGGCAAGATTTTCCACTAATGTCAGTTGAGTCCAGAACCTGTTTTTAAAAATGCATATAGACCAATGGCGATGATGGTGACGACAGTAATAGTTCTATACGAACGCAGACGATACGGTATTCTGGGTTGGGGTACAGCAACTTTCAATCGTCTGAGTCTCTCGCGCTCTATTCTATTAGCTTCAGCTTTTTGTTTCCACTCTCGTTCTTTGCACCTCCTCTTCTGATCGAAATCCTTTACATCTGCATTTATTGACTCTGGGGGATAGTCTCGGTAGAGATTTTTGGCTTTTATGAGAAGTTCCTCGAACGGCAAATCATCGGGTAACTGGAAAAAAAAAAATTGATATAAAACACATGGAATAAATGATCTGGCATCAGGAAATGACTCGTTGCTCTACTTACGGTGCATAAAATTTTATGTGTGTGTCCCATATCTGGAGTTGTATTGAATATCTCAATGTCACGATGGGCAACGATGACAGTGCTCAAATAAAGGGGCATCAGTGTGGGTGTTCCAAGGAAAAAATCGAACAATCTGTGAAGTAATTTACGATTCTCAGCGTATTTATGAGCATACCACGTTGTATACTCGGCCAGTGCGAAATGTGGAAACAATTCAACGCTGAAAATAATGAAAAAAAAATATATAATCATGAAAATAATGTGGAGAAAATGTCACTTACTTTTCTAAATGCTGTAATAAAGCAGGATGAATCCTCTCCAACAATGCAAATATATAAAACAATTCTTGATTGACCTTCTCCATCGTCTGCTCCATAAACCTCTCCAAATATTCTACAGTTATTTTTTCAAGCACCAGGAGGCCTTTCTCCAAACCCATGACGATGAGGACTGTTGCTGCTACATCATTGTATCCCTGATAGTAACTGTAATAAATTGAATCGAGATTATGCAGTCAGGAATTACTTAAATCCTTTTATCGGTGTATTTACTTCAATTCTGGGTGTCTGTGGAGTACCCCGCAAATTATTTGAGTCAATTTACGATGAAAAATTTCATAATCCTCTTCTGTGGAATCTGGAGGCAGATGACCTCCACTCCTCGTCACATCCTTGAGAATCTGCTCGTAGACACTATTAGCAATTTTCTTGTGAACATCAGAGAGTTCAGATGTGTCCAGGGTCTTCTCGTCGTCTATCCTCAGGAGTTTTGGCCAGAGAACCCTTCGTACATCATCTACAGATCATCTCAATGACTTCGAGAAAATAATTCACGACATCGATATTAATAATCAGAAGGAAATGCAGTGCCATTTCCTTCTGATTCATCTAGCTAGACATGATTGTATTTTATGGAATTACCAGTAACAAATCCTAAACTGCTGCATCCCAGCAACTTCAGCTCACCATACGACAAGTTCTCCTTGATCTTTCCGTTGATAACTCTTATCTTCAACTTCTCCAATTGACTAAGTTTCTCTATATCACCACAATCATCTGATAACACAGTCTCATCATATGCATTACCATTTGGTTTACCTGGTGAATCCGTATCAGACACCCCTGGAACCCATGGGACATCCTCATGCCATGCTGCTATCGAATCTGGCAGTGACACTAATGGAACACGTGTATAATTATCCAAATCCTGTTTATCCATATTTATTTCGTAATGCTGCCTTTATTTTCTCCTACGAACAATTTTTATATTAAACCCAACAATTATCCATCCTCCAAAGTCTCTATGAACTTGTTGTATTTAGGTTAATCCATATTAGTTGTTAAATGTTCAGTTGAATAATTTACGGATCTAAATATTTATTGAAACATATGGTTAATGTTTTATGATGGCAACGATAGATTTTTGACAGGCATCTCTAATTGTTGTCGCCTGTTCTCCTCTTTTTACGATACTATTGTGTCAAAATGCAGAGACTCTCGAGATATATCATAATATATCGAGTAGAGATGGAGCTAGGGATATATTTCCATGGAAAAACGAAACAATTCGAACAAATCCGAAATTCCACGAACGTAAAAGAAGATTGAGAAACCTCTGGTCTTGTGCATCTCGATTTCACGTGCCATGGATCGGTGTTATGTCTACTGGAGTAACCGGTGAATAAAAATAAAATTAATAACTTAATTATAATTCAATAAAATATATTCCAGTCTGAAAATGGGTATTCTACGAGTGCTCAATGGCCACATAAATCCCAACCGTTTGTCACAGCTTTCCAGTTTTTTAAATCAGGTAATTCCGCAGAATTGGTTAGACCAGAATCTTCCCCTGGATGATAAAATCCTCGAAATATCTCACCAATTATATTTTACAGATAAATGGCAGGTGCATGGCATCGTACGAAAAATATGCGGTTCACAAAGACATTGAGAAAATTCGAAACATCGGGATATCCGCTCATATAGACTCTGGAAAGACTACATTAACAGAACGTATTCTTTATTATACTGGTAGAATTGATCAGATGCATGAAGTCAAGGGTAAGGACAACGTTGGAGCTGTAATGGACAGTATGGAGTTGGAAAGACAACGAGGAATAACTATTCAATCAGCAGCTACTTACACAATCTGGAGAGATCACAATATAAACATAATCGATACACCAGGACACGTGGATTTCACAGTGGAAGTGGAGAGAGCTCTGAGAGTCCTGGACGGAGCGGTGTTGGTGCTCTGCGCTGTGGGAGGTGTACAATCCCAGACACTCACTGTAAACAGACAAATGAAACGTTACGACGTACCCTGTCTAGCTTTCATCAATAAACTTGATCGAATGGGAGCTAATCCCGACAAAGTTCTCCACCAGATGAGAACTAAAATGGCCCATAACGCGGCATTCATTCAACTACCGATTGGACGAGAATCAGAGACGAAGGGAATTATTGATGTTATCACTCAGAAGGCTATATTTTTTGAGGGACAGTATGGGGAAGTTGTTACTTCAGGGGAAATCCCCCAGGACATGAAGGACGAGGCGTTGGCAAAGCGACAAGAGCTCATAGAACATTTGAGTAATGTTGACGAAACTCTTGGAGAATTCTTCCTCAACGAAAGTACTCCAAAAGAACAGGATATCAAGGACGCAGTAAGACGAGCGTGCCTGAAACGTACTTTTACTCCAGTTCTTGTTGGTACTGCCTTGAAAAATAAAGGTGTTCAGCCTCTTCTTGATGCAGTCCTGGATTATCTACCGCATCCTGGAGAGGTGACTAATTATGCACTCAGGGAGAAATCCAATGCGAAACCTGAAAAAATTCTGTTAGATCCAGCTAGAGATGGTCAAAAGCCTTTTTTGGGTCTTGCTTTTAAACTTGAACTTGGAAAATTCGGACAGTTGACGTACTTTAGATGTTATCAGGGTAAACTTGAGAAAGGCCAGTCGATTTATAACACGAGGAACAGAAAGAAGATTAGAATAGCTAGACTCGTGAGACTGCACTCCAATCAGATGGAGGACGTTACTGCAGTCTATGCTGGAGATATTTTCGCTCTGTTTGGTGTTGACTGCGCGTCTGGAGACACCTTCGTCGACAATTCCAAGTTGGATCTCTCCATGGAGTCTATTTACGTACCTGATCCCGTCATCTCCATGTCAATTGCACCGAAGAGCAATAAAGACAGAGATAACTTCGCCAAGGGGATCGCCAGATTCACCAAGGAAGATCCAACCTTTCGATTCTTCTGGGATGACGATAATAAGGAGAGTATTGTATCTGGAATGGGTGAACTTCACTTGGAAATTTATGCTCAGCGTCTGGAACGAGAGTATAACTGTCCGGTGATCCTAGGAAAACCCAAAGTATCTTTCAGAGAAACTTTAGTTGCCCCCTGCAACTTCAATTACATTCACAAGAAGCAGTCTGGTGGTGCAGGACAGTATGCCAGGGTAATAGGCACCATGGAACCCCTTCCTCCTCATCAAAATACTCAGATTATCTTCTCCGATGAAACTGTTGGTACAAACGTTCCCAAGGTGTTTGTTCCAGGAGTTGATAAGGGGTTCAAGGCCATGTGTAATAAAGGATTGCTGACAGGGCATAAGATCACTGGAGTTAAGTTCCGACTCGTGGATGGTGCTCATCATATTGTAGATTCTTCGGAGTATGCCTTTCAACTTGCTGGACAGGGAGCGGTCAGGCAGGTCTTTGAAGATGGATCCTGGAGCATTCTCGAGCCCATCATGTACGTGGAGATAACTGTACCTGAGGAATTCCAAGGAACTATCATGGGACAAATGACCAAGAGGAAGGGCCTGATTATTGGAACTGATGGCAATGATGGATGGGTTACGCTGCATGGTGAGGTACCCCTCAACGAGATGTTTGGATATTCTGGAGAATTGAGATCTTCTACACAGGGCAAAGGGGAATTCACTATGGAGTACTGCAGGTACAGCCCTTGTAATCCTGAAGTCCAGGAGAGACTTATCAGGGAATATCAGGAATCTTTGGGGCAGTATCAACAAAAAAAGAAGAATTAGTATTGAATTTTTAATGGAGTTATCAATTTTTTTAAAGTAATCTCGCGGTAGGAATCGTAAGAACTTGGATAATAAATTGTAAATATTTCATGCCAATGCCAAGTTGTTTATTCCACTGTGTAGCTTAAAAAATTGAATAAGTATGAGTTTATGTACTATAGTAACTAGAGAAGATCGTTTTTTTTTCATCCACTCAAGGCGCACGCTGCTCTCACTAGCCTACTTATTCCAGTATTCTCTTATGCGTGGTATTTACTACCTAATCTTAAATTAAATCTGTCGCAAGCACTCATTTATCCGAATATTCAAATTAAATTTAAATCTACAACAATCAATAGGCAGTGATTGCCACAGATCCATCACTATTTCGTGCAGTGGAAAGATTCAATCAAATACGTAAATTACAAATTGATTGGCTCGATTATTCGATTCGATTTAATTCGATGAGCATTCACTTACTATTTCTTCGTGCGGTGATAAAATAAATTGACGAAATAATGAGCTCCACCGGATAATTTTATAAAACGAAAAATCGAAGGAATTTTTATTTTTCACTGGATTCATCTGCGATCGCGATGTCTGTGGTGATGATCGCGGGATGATCGATGCTCGTTGTGACGACTGTGTCGGCTTGCTGTTCGCCACAGAAACTCGTCGACACTGCGCTCGTAGCTGCGTTTGTCGAGGGAGCTTGAGCCAGTGTAAAGAGGTAAACCGTCGTAATAACGTGGAGGTGGTGGAGGCGGGGGTATGGAATCGTAAGGAGTATTGTAGGGAGGTAATGGGGGTAATTGGTGCTGCATTGTTCGCATGTAATCTGCCACGTAGGCTTCAGCTGCAGCTGCGATGCTCGATGTGCCATAGCTCCTGAGGAGAATAAATAATTAATTAAATCCCCAGAAAAGCTGAATTGACTGACTTTTTTTTGTTTAATTGTCTCCTTCACTGGGACAAAACAAGTCATGAAAATTCGAAAGAAGATATTGGTTTACTTGGAGTAAGAGCTATCTCCTCGATTGAACCACGAGGAGTAGCGATGGTTGTAGTCCCCAGGTCCCCTTTGATCAGGCAAATGTCCACTTCTTGCTAGTGAAGCCAATCGAGATCTTGATGTCAAAAAAAGTCGTCGTCCACCTCGTGCACCACCACGTGTTCTCAGGAATCGTGAGGATATCCCCACTGGACGGGTTATTCTAGTTCTTCTTGATGTTTTTACAACATTCTTCGCTGCCTCTTTAGATTTTCGTAGAATTGGTGTCATTTCGATACCTGGAAAGCAATTTTTACGTTTAATCATCCGAGAAAACAGATTTATAGAGGGTAATGATTATTATTACCATCGTCTTCTGGAAATAATCTGCAGAGCTCTTCAGCAACTCTAGGCTCGATCTCCTGCCCATCGCGGCCTATTTTCACCTGCTTTCCATCGTTCCAGGGATTGTACAGGTGGAGGGTAGATGTAAATGGTAATTCTTTTCTACATACCCAGTCCACCTTGAATACACCTCCAAGAGCTTTTGCTGATAATCCTGGCGGCAGTACCTGAATCGAATAAATTTAAATAATTTTTTTTCCTCTTTATTCATTCACACTTCTGGGATTAATTCAATACAAACCCACGAAATAGGTGCCCCATCTCTTCTCGACTCAGTGCTCAACCTGGCGAATCCCGCAAATTTTCCCGACTCTTTGACCGAAAAAATGAGAAGAACATTCCTCGACTCCTTGTAAGCCTGATTGAGATTAGCTTCATTCTGCGGTAGAGTACTCCAGACTCCCTTGGCCTTGGAGAGAGTTATATTCTCAGCGTTGTTGGACTTGATGATGAAAAATCTGCCGATAAAAAATCTTAGCATCTAAACAATTGGAATAAATCATTAATATAAAATACATTGAAAAAAATGAACCTCGCATCTCTAAACAAGTAATTGAGTTTAGTGGTGTAGTCGTAGTTTTTTGGTGTTGCTTTGCTATCCTTGGATCTGGCACGTTTTACCTCGGGACTCGATGATTTCGAATCACGCGAGCGACCGCGTTTACCAAGACGTGTTCTACGATTGCGTTTATTGTCACCACGAGATGATTTTGTCGATACTGAACTTATACTCGGTTGTGTCGAGTCTGAATCCGATGAGCTAGAGGATACCTCACTTCTCGTATCGTATGTCTCGTCAGCTCCAATTTTCAACTCATCCCCCATGTCATTCTCACCGCAGCTCAGATTCAAATTGTCTCCATCAACATTATTGTCCATTTTAGTGATTATTTCTTGAATTCAAACAGTCAATCAATCAATAAATTTCCTTCATTTATTAATGGATTTTTGATAGTGACTAGTTAATTGTGATGCTCTCTCATCCGGTATCCCAGTGCGTCAATAAATGTCTTCTGAAAATTTATGAAAAATCGTGAGTTTATTCGGGAGTTAAAAAATTAATCCGTCGATGAGAGAAAACATTTCGTAATCTCGATGGGAATTAAATACTTTTTTTAAATTAATCTGTAATAAAAATTGTTATATCATTATTAGATAATATAGTAATGATGATTCCATACTTTTCACGGCGACAAAATAGTTCCATACAATTCACATAATAATAACAACACCATAATTGCTGACATGTAAGACTCGATAGGATCAAATAATTTTGCATTATTTATATAAATGTTATTGAACTGTGGCCAAAAGCTATCCAGATACAAGCGAATTAATTATTTAAACAATGTCCACAGTTGACAATTATACTCAGGCCTTTGGCATTTGTCTCACGGATGAAAACACGATGTACATTATCAAGTCCATTTGTGAGTCATGAAGACAGTAATTAACTAGGTCTCAACCAATTATTATTGAATTATAATTTTTTTTTTTCGATTTATCAGCAATTACTCCATTTTGTGAAGCAGTCCTTGAGAAAACTTATGGTAAAATAGTAACAATGGCTCTAGAAAAGTTTATATCATCATTTTTAAACAACTTTTCTCAATATATTCGGCATTTTAATGATTGGATGTCCTGTTAAATCACTTGAAACTTCGAGCCTGACCCAGATGTATTCCTTCTGCATATCCTCGTATTCTCATTTTATTTATAAACATTATGTAAATTTCTTTCAAACAATAGAGTTCGTGCGTTTTCAAACAACATAAGTCCATGTACTGGGGGACGAAACCGCTTGTGATGCGGATTGGCCTCACACTTACGTATATATTTATATATATGTATATATTCCTTCACATAAAATCACCACTTTCCACCTCACAATCTCATTGCCCACAGAATTTTTTTTCTCTTCGTTTCCTTCGTGGATAGAATCAGCCAAATATATTCAAGTTACCCGCCCGTAATTATTGAATGGGTGATAATTATGCGGGGAGATCACTGGATTAACGGTAACACGTAACTGGACATTTGTTGATGGACTTTTTGGGGGGCTAATTATTAATTATTTGTCAATTGTGACTGATGCGGCCTCGGGAAGCGGCCGATGGAGCTGGGGGCCAGGATAGATCTGAATTGAGCGCCGAATCAGAAGGTCAGGATCAAAGAGGATTGACTGAGGTAGAGGCTCTGTTCTGGGGGTTTGAGTGACCCCAGCGTCATCGTAGTACTGCACCCCAAGAGAGGGAGGGCGCCACACGCAATGCTGGGGTGTTTTTTTTTTATTAATCAAATTTTTATTGCAATGCTGGGGTGTTATCAAGTCGATGGGGTGAATTTTATTTACTGCGGTATGAATGCTTTTTGTTTTTTCATTGTTTAACGGAAATTTAACCGATTGTAGAACGAGCGGAAGAGGGAAGCCACATCTTGTGGAGTTTCAAGTGAAAAAAATTATTCAATGTATTGAATATATACTACTAATGAAATTATCATTTCGAATTGAGCGCGTTGTCGAGTTGGCAGCGTGCTCGCCTACCACGCCGACGGCCCGGGTTCAATCCTACCGTCATTCATTTTTTTTTTTTAAATAATTCCAATTTTTTCTTTGGGTAGGTATTCATTGCAATTGAAAAATTCGAAATTTTTGTAAAAGTATCAGGGGAACATGACAATCGAGGAGCTCTTCACTGAAATTTTCACTGAAAGTGAAAAATTCGAAATTTTTGTAGAAGTATTAGGAGAACATAACAATCGAGGAGCTATTCACTGAAATTTTCACTGAAGGTGAAAAATTCGAAATTT